AGCAAAATAATCATAAAATCACATTCAAATTCTATATCATTACAACAGCCACTGATAAAACAAAACCCCATTTGAACTCCCAGTAGGAAAACGTTTTGTCGCATCCTTCATCCCGTAATTCTAGAATTAGATCTCTCTTTTAAAATGAGCTTGTAACAACTCCATATGTGTGTCATGAAACTGCACATGGAACAAGGACAGGGGTGATCCAAATGCAGGCTTTATTAAAGAGGAGAATCCAGAGACCGGTACAAGGAAACAGGCAGGGGTCAAAACCAGGTAAGCAGTCCAGATCAGCAATAAAACAATGCAGGGATTAGACAAACGGGAAGACCAGATACAGGCAGAGAGTCCAGGAACCATGAAACTAAGGAAACTAGCTAGGAAAACACTTGAAGCAGTCAGACATACACAAACAATACTGAGCACCGAACAAAGGGGAAACTCGGGCTTAAGACAGGTGAACTAAACAAGATGATAAAACACAGGTGCATGAAATAAACCATAATCAGTCCAGGGTAAAACATGAATGAAACAATAAACTAGGAAGGAGTGCCCCCCAGAGGCTCAAGCGGGCACTCCAGCCGCAGATCATCACATAACCCCCCCTCTAAGGAGCGGCTTCCAGACGCTCCTAGAACAATCCAGGCGGGGGGCAGAGTGAAGGTGATCCCGGGGGAGGGACGGAGGGCCAGGCCCGTGCAGGGGAACGGGACCAGGACACAGGCAAGGTGGGCCTGGGCCGTGGAGCGTGGGTGACCAGGTTGGAGCAGGACGTGATGGCGGCCAGGGCGGAGCCGGACGTGATGGCGGCCAGGGCGGAGCAGGACGTGATGGCGGCCAGGGCGGAGCAGGACGTGATGGCGGCCAGGGCGGAGCAGGACGTGATGGCGGCCAGGGCGGAGCAGGACGTGATGGCGGCAAGGGCGGAGCAGGCTCAGGCAGAGACGAGGGCGGAGCAGACTCAGGTGCGGTCCATGTCAGTGTCGCCTCCATGGCCCCCGCAGAGTACCTAGTGCCCCCCCCCAAAAAATACTTGGGAAAATTCACGGGAGGAACCTCTGGGTGGAAAACGGGTTCAGGAAAGGTCTCCCGGAGCTTGAATGGCGCAGTCAAGGTGATGCGCAGAGGCGGGGCCGGCAGGGCAAGGCGCAGAGGCGGGGCCGGCAGGGCGAGGCGCAGAGGCGGGACCGGCAGAGCGAGGCGCAGAGGCGGGGCCGGCAGAGCGAGGCGCAGAGGCGGGACCGGCAGAGCGAGGCGCAGAGGCGGGGCCGGCAGAGCGAGGCGCAGAGGCGGCCGGCGCAGAGCGAGGCGCAGAGGCGGGGCCGGCAGAGCGAGCGCAGAGGCGGGGCCGGCAGAGCGAGGAGTCTGGGCACGCTCGCCGGGGCCTGGCGAACCAAACGAGTCCTCCTTCTCCTCCTCCTGCGGCGGCGCGTCACAGGGCTAGACACACTCGCTGGGCTGGACAACTCACTCACTTGAAGAGGAGATGCAGCGCTCACTTGAAGAGGAGATGCAGCGCTCACTTGAAGAGGAGATTCAGCGCTCACTTGAAGAGGAGATTCAGCGCTCACTTGAAGAGGAGATTCAGCGCTCACTTGAAGAGGAGATTCAGCGCTCACTTGAAGAGGAGATTCAGCGCTCACTTGAATCGATTTGGACCTGGACGCACTTGACTCACTTGATTTGGACCAGGACACACCTGACTCACTTGACTTGGACCTGGACACATTTGACTCGGCCGTTGACTCACTTGACTCGGCCGTTGACTCACTTGACTCGGCCGTTGACTCACTTGACTCGGCCGTTGACTCACTTGACTCGTTCGGCCCGGCACTTGACTCGGCTGGCACGCGCTCAGTGGAAAACTGTTGAGGCAGGAATGCAATGGAGCTCACGTGAAGTGTTAGAACAACAGGATTCACATGTCGCGTGGATTCGGGGGACTCCTCACCAAGTGCTGGTTCAACTGGGCTTTCATGTAGCACAAACTCGGCGGAGCACGTGTGAAGCGCTGGTTCACCGGGAGACTCTAGATGCGTGGATTCAGTGGGTACCTTGTAAAATGCCACATCGTCGGGTCCTCTGTGAAGCAAAAGTTCCAAAAAATCCACAGTAAAAAGCGAACCGCTCATGGAAAGGGCCAGATCAATATATTGGGAAAGAGTCCAGCTAGGACTCGGAAACGGTATATCAGAGCCGAGCGGTTCAGACAGTCCTCCCCGAAAGAATATCATTAAACAAAAATCATCCAAGTAGGACTGATGAGAGAGCTTCAAAAAATCCATCACAAAAACCTTGAGAGGACGTTCTCCTTGGCGGAGGCATACGATCTGTGCTGTGGGATCCATTGCGAGGTCCGTGTTCCTCTCAGCCGCTGGATCAGTAGTGGCTCAGTATTCTATCATGAAACTGCACATGGAACAAGGACAGGGGTGATCCAAATGCAGGCTTTATTAAAGAGGAGAATCCAGAGACCGGTACAAGGAAACAGGCAGGGGTCAAAACCAGGTAAGCAGTCCAGATCAGCAATAAAACAATGCAGGGATTAGACAAACGGGAAGACCAGATACAGGCAGAGAGTCCAGGAACCATGAAACTAAGGAAACTAGCTAGGAAAACACTCGAAGCAGTCAGACATACACAAACAATACTGAGCACCGAACAAAGGGGAAACTCGGGCTTAAGACAGGTGAACTAAACAAGATGATAAAACACAGGTGCATGAAATAAACCATAATCAGTCCAGGGTAAAACATGAATGAAACAATAAACTAGGAAGGAGTGCCCCCCAGAGGCTCAAGCGGGCACTCCAGCCGCAGATCATCACAATGTGGCGTCATATTGGATGAACTTTATTGACCATATTGACTTTGCCAGTATGGACTTTGAGTTTGAAAGACATTTCACTAAATTTTTTACACAAATTTAACCCTGCTAATGTAGCACTCCTGAAAGGGAGCAGGTTTATCAGTAAACAGTCAGACGAGATGCTTCATTAACAAAGTTTTTACTTAGAATCAATCTTGGCAATAAATGAATAATTATTACACAACAATGCATGAGCTCTATTATTTCTATAATGCTATACACAAGTGCATGAGCTCGTATGTACTTCTCCTTTAAATCATCTCCTCATATCCTGATAGCAATCACAGTGTTAAGCGGTCGAACACACACAGCATCTCTCAAAATCAGGTACGCCAATATATTATTATTACAAAATATTAATATTACAAAATATTATTTACTGATCAATAATAGTTAATGAACAATAACAGACAAGAATACATTATACAAGCATACATTATACACGAATACAAAGTGTGTAGAATAGTCAAGTCAAGTCAAATATATTTAAAAAGCACTTTTTACAATACAGGTTGTATCAAATCTGCTTCAAAGTATCAAATTAAAAGAACTTAACAGTGTTTGTTTATTACTGGGAAAAAAAGACATCCAAGTTTGGTGGAGCTGATCAATGGTATGATGGGTCATTTAATTTGAATATCCCCAACTGAGCAAGCCAAAGGCAACAGTGGCAAGGAACCGAAAAACTCCATCAAGTGACCCGATGGAGAAAAAAAAAACCTTGGGAGAACCCAGGCTCAGTCGGGGGCCAGTTCTCCTCTGGCGTTTATGAACTAGAGGCCAAATTTACATTAACTGTGAGATAAAAATTTGATATGAACGCCTGGCTAAATAAATGCAGCTTTAAACTGGGAGATAAATGTGAAAATGGAAATAAATGTGAAAATTGTGGATCTGGATATTCTAGGAATGAAAATAAATAAAAATAAATAAAATACAAAAGGTGATGCTATTAGTATTTATACTAATTTATGACTCAAGACTTGGGTATAATCCGTCTTTTTAGAGGTACGGGTGTAGTGTAGACGCACGACTCACGTATAGGAAAATGTTGGATTGTAAGTGAGTGTAAAGAAAGTGAGTTTGGCAATCGATCGCAGGGCGAGCAGCAGTGAAGCAGTGTCTCGCTCTACAACCAACAACCAAACACTCCAGCCGTATTTGCAGTTCCAGCCGTATAATGGCTTGAGCTAATTTAGCGTCTGACCTAATTTTAGCTACGTTTGAATCTAATTCTAGCTACAACTCCCAATTACCCTTTAAATTCTCCTTTCAACTCTCGTCACCTTAGAAACAAAATAGGAAAAGATGAGAGAAACCAATACAATATTCAATCAGAATAAAAAATGTAAAAAATGAAAATAAAATACAAAAGGACTTGAAACAATCAAGAAAAAAAAACAACAGCAACGTGGAAAATTGAAATCACACTAAGTCCAATTTAAGTCAAGTCAAGTCACATATATTTATATAGCGCTTTTCACAATACAGATTGTATCAAAGCAGCTTCACAGTGATAACATGAAAGTAGTACAACACAGATCAATAATATTGCTAAACACTAAATAACCCCAACTGAGCAAGCCAAAAGCAAGGCGACAGTGGCAAGGAACCAAAACTCCATCAGATTGGATGGAGAAAAAACCTTGGGAGAACCCAGGCTCAGTTGGGGGCCAGTTCTCCTCTGGCTTACATTCATATTGTTTATATATAAATATTAAATATAAATATTGTTTATGTATAAAACGGCGCCATAACATATCGCAGGCGTTGAGTCGTCTCATCACAGGCGTTGAGTCGTCTCATCACAGGCGTTGGGGCATCCGAAATCCCCGTGAGAGGCTGGATACAAAACTGGACCTGACGAACGCCATTTTTCTCGGGACGCTTAGCAGAAAGGCAGATGGGAAATAATTAGCATAGCTGATGTTCATAATGATTTCCATTATACGGAAGTCGGTGTTAGAAACCACCATCTCACAAACTCTCCGTAACCTGAACTCTCTGCAACTCAACCATACGCGCCGACCCGTTTGACTAAGGCTGTCGAGCCCCACTGTCGCGGTAATGCGTTTCAGTGGCAAACGGTTCCGTATGGCATAACAGAGGACTAAAAGGTAAGCATTATGTGAATGCTTGACTAAAGAGATGCGTCTTTAATCCAGTTTTAAACTGTGTCAGCGAGTCAGAGCCTCGGACTGTATCTGTATTTAGTCCTCAACCAACAGTGTCCGTGTATATCAGGTTGCCCAATTTCAGCTTCAGTTTGATGATTCTTCCGCAATCCAGGCTTAGTCAATACAGAAAAGAAACGTGTGCACAGTCCTACAACTCAGCTCAGGATCAGCTTGAGACTGGATTAACTGGAAACAGGCTCGTAATCTCCCATTAAAATTGATAACTCTGAGAGAAGATCGGTCAGACATGGAGCAGACGATGACGAATCGAAGCTAAAGAAACTTGACTGGGAACCAGATGGACTTGAGAAGGGTGACGTGTCTACACTGATCTCGCGGTGAGATGGACCCGAGAAGGGTAACTGGTCAGAACTGATCTCGCGGTGAGATGGACCTGGCTCGGTTAAGTCCCTGGAGAGGACAGATATTTGTGGCTGTAGATCTGCTGGATCTGGGTCCACTGTGTCGTCCCCGTAACAACCAAGAGCGGAAACCTTTATAGTTTTCCACGTTCGTTGGATGAATGAGCTGATGTCTTTCTTCACCCTCCTTCTTGATTGTTTTTCTAAAAAAAAGAAAAAATGGAAAAATAAATTCAATTACGCCACTAAAGCAAGACGACTAAAGCAAATCATGGAAAGGCAATAAAACGGCAAAAAAGTGATGGACTTCTAATAGCTTGTGACTGTGTCATGGGTTACAGTAGAGAATCACAAAATCATTTTCATGTCAATAAATCCCTTATGTAAACGTATATATGACTACAGCCCACACACAAAAATGCCTTTTCAAATGAAAGAAAACCGGATGTGTAACTATTTTCATGCACTCATTCCTAAAAAACTAAATACATTTCAAGGTTCACATTTAATTCAGTCGGATTTTCTTTTTTTCTCTAGAGCTATTGAACTGTGTACCGCAGTCAAATAAGAAAAGTAACACACAACAGTAAACTACAATCAAAATGCTCATTTCAAATCGAAATTTGATTCAAAATCGAGAATCGTTTCGAATCGTGAAGCACCAAAAGATTCCCACCGCTAGATTATAGTGAAAAATAAAATAGATGCTGAATGTTGAACACTAATAATTTAAGGGGAACAAGAATAACATAAACCGTAGACTAGAGCAAAAGTCTACAACTATAACGAAAAGAATGACTTACCAACAGCCGGCGCTATCCTAGCCCTCCATTTCCTACGGAGAAACGCACCCACATCTTTCTTCTTCTTCTTTGTTTGGCTTTCGGCAAAATCTGAGGGAAGACATAATGAAGAAAGAATTCAATTGTAAGGTGAGACAACTGGAAAAGTGGGACATTTTTCCTCCTTAAAACTGCAGTGAACCAAAGACAGTCTCAAAAACGCTGGTGTTTCTGACGTCACAAACCACCTTGTAACCAATCAGATCAACGTGTGATCGTCAACCAGTGGATCTCTGGGCTGAGTAAGTGAGTGGAGGCGGGGCTCATTTGCATATTTATAGAACCGAGCATACTAAATGAGGCAAGGTTGTCGAGTTACATTCAAGCTATTTTAAGGCGTGACGGATTGTTTTTTCAAAGAAAAAAACATTTAAATATGGAATTATTTGGTGATCAAAGATGAGTTTAAAGGGATGAATTGATTGACCAGCGGGGGACTTTAATAATTAGGTACACAAGATGAACACAACACAACTCGGTATAATGAAAGTACTGACAGTAATAATAATGACCATGGACTCACCCGGGACAGACGATGGATCGTCAGGATCGTCCTGAATAGAGTCCGGCGTCAGCTCGATACTAGAGAGACTGGACAATCCTGAGAAAGACATCAGCTCTAGATCTGGTGCCGGCTCTGGGTCCAGGACAGATGTGCATGAGCGTTCGGGATCGTCCGGATCGGCATTAACCGGCAGCTGGACTCCAGATGGACACGGATGCACTGGTGTTGCCCAGTAAAACTCGGATGAATCCTGCTGGACATCCGTGGGATTGCAGGAGGGATATGTGGACACTAGTGTATCGACCTCACTGCAGTCAAGCTTTACAGCCTTCCCGATTCTCCGTAAGAAAGCACAGACGCCTTAAAGAAAGGTAAAAACATTAACACAAGAAAATACTGAGGCTTGACATCATGAAGAAAGAAGAACATGGGATGAAAACAGTTAAATATGTTCTTCCCAATCATCCTAGTGCCTCATTAAACACACACACACACACACACACACACACACACACACACACACACACATGCTTTCCTTTTCTCCCTTACATTTACAATTACAGCTATATACAATAGTGAACACAAGTGACGTCCGGCCCAGGAAATCTGACATCTGCACTCTTGTCTTGCATTTAAATGTTATTATAAATGTGTGTAAGATTTTGTAGTCATATTGCACAGTTAAGCTGGGAGTCGATTGTTTAATTTGTGATAATAATTCAATAAAACATAAACAATTTGGCAACATCATTTTTGTCCAGGCTGTTATATAAAGAAATTAAAAACACATGCAAAAACAACAGAACCAACCAAATATTAATAATAACTTATAATGTTGTGTACCATGTGTGACCATGATCCTCTAAAGCAGGGAATATCACACACATGTTTCAAACTAATCATAATTATTAAACATTGGATACTCAAATTATGGCTATTCTTGAAATTTGTACCCAATCCTTATAAATATGTTATGATGTGTCTTGGAATAAAAACTAAACCTGATTATTGGCTTGATCAAACTTCAGTTGTATTTTGATATAATATGGTGTGATCATATATGGTAATTAATGACACTCCAGTGATAATATTCTCCAATGGTCATTTGATTTACCCTCAGCTCTTCTCTCAGGTATCGCTGCAGTTCTCTGGTCTGGGATGATGCCGCTCCAGTCACGGGAATGAAGCTTCTCCTCTTCCTCTGCCTAGGGGGACCATATTTTGATTACCAAAAACCAGGACACTCGGCCCAGCAAACAGATACTCAAAGTTTACTCAAAGATGCCTTATTAATTTCAATACATTGAAAGTAGGCTATTCCTCCTCTGTATAAATAGAAAATTGTTACATTAACAAGACACAAATTCAGATAGGCTTCTCAGAGGTTACTCAACATTTTATTATGACAGGTTTCAAAAATGATGAAATAATGTCTCTTCTGTATTACAAAAGTAAATATATAAATAATAAATAACTGAAAGAAATACCTCCAAATTGAACAAAAATATCTCTCACAAACTTGCCAAAAAGAACTAACAAAATATATTTATATCGTTAGTTTTCTTCCTCTTTATCCTGTTTTTCTTCCTTGCCTATCTATATTTTGCTGTAGAGCTGATCTTTCCCAGCAGTTTTTTGAAAACCAGGACATTTTCATCACTTTATAAAGAGCAGCCAGGAGGGCCAGGAGAGGGCTTGAAAACAGGACTGTTGGTCACCCTACCTTTGCCTTTGCTCTGCGAGAGTCTTGAGGAGAAGTGGACGGACGTCCATCATCTGGGCTCTGCTGGCTGTCTCTCTGCCACTCTCTCTTCCTGTGAGCCGGACCTGTGGACACAGAAACAAACTCACAAGACAGAGATGTTACATATCCAGGAATGAGCTCATGGCTCTGAGTCCCGGTCGGGCCTGGCATCCTCCTGCAAACAAGAGCAATACAATACAAAATACAATACAATAAAATACAATGAAATACCCCACCCCAGTAATACTCCACCCCAAAAAAATAAAAAAATAAATGAAAAAATAAAATAAAAATAATAAATAAAATAAAACTCCAAAACTCCCTCAAAAATAAGAAAAGAACAATCAAATTAAAGCGTCCTCAGAAATAATATTAAATAAAAATAAATAAAACGATGTAGCGTTAGCTAGGATTTATCCGATCTCCTTCTGGAATAAAAGTCTCCTCTCTGAAATCCTCCGAACAGCTTCAAAATCTCAACTTCAGCACAAGAAAATTTTCAGCAAAAGTCTCTGAAATCGCCTCGACTCTCAACCAACCAACAGCGATTAAAGTGTTGATATTTGCATTCAAAATTCATAAGACGCGTCGCCATAGCAACCCATACTCGAACCACTCATATGCTCGCACGCGCATCCGAAGCCACGTGCGTGAGCAGAGCGCGTGAGCTCACATCAATGACAAATAAGGTTTTCAACTGATAAAAAAAATCAAATTGGTTAAAACTGTACATCAAAGTAGTTATTATCTTTATGGGGATGTTTTTTTTTTTTTTTTACTTGTTACTAAAATCTAAATTTTAAACTGTATTTTAAGTGGTTTAACTGAGAATCATGTGACCACACCAGTCAAAATGTCATAAGGCCTACAGGATAACGTTAATGCAATTTCTAAATATTATGATATTAAAACTTTTCAAATCAATAATACTTATAATGAATATGTAAAGTGATGCAGTAAACAATATTTAGAGATCAGAAAAAAAAAATTTTGTTTTGTTTTTTTTGTATTTCTTGTTCAAGTTCTTTACACACATTTTAACACTGTAATGTGAGTTAAAATGTAAAATGTCTGAAAAAGTTTTACAGGACTTGATTTCATGTTATTATTGTTTCCTCAACTCCATTTAGTGAAATTATGCATTTCAATGGAAAAAAAAAATCCCATCTGACTTACGGTATATGAGATAACACATGAATTGTCATCGTTGCCAAACTTACACATAATAATGTTCATAGATTATGAATGTTTATGTTATGTAATGGTTTTTTATTTATTTAATGAAATTAATTAGGCTCCACTTTAAAGAAATACACATGTGGTTTTCAGTGTGTGAACTGTTACACACAAAGTCAGTGTGGTTTCTTCCCAGATTTGCCAAGTATACAAATAGATTTAAACCATTTTTTCCATGTTTATGAATATCAAAACAGCACAACTTAGTTTAAGGTTTAATTTAGTTCTGAAAAGTACCTTGAACCATTTTACTGATCATAGTCACTCAACATCAATATTCATAAATAATGTAAGGGTTAAAGTAGGCGACCTTCACTGATTTCACTGAACATTATTTATTTGAACAACAAATTTACAAAAGCATGTAATTGAACAATATATTTAAGAAAAATCTTATTAATGGTTTGAAGTACATTGAATCACTAAATTTCATTAAATGAACACTAAATGTTATTTTAGACAATGTCTATAGTAAATGTAATGTAACTGTAATTGAAAATTATTATGAATTAAATCATTTGCTGATATTCAACTGAACAATATTAATGATATGTTAGTATCACAATTTGAATGGAAATTATATAAAAATTAAAGCTGAAAACTGTATAAGAAAACCAATATAAATCAAGAAACAATATAAAATCAATATTGCTTTATGTAGAGCAAGATTATATGCTAGTTTATTAGGTTTGTGCTTGAATTTTTAAATGCCTCCTTACAGACAGAGACCAGTTGCAATTAAATATGTATTTTTAGTCAAAATGTTATTGCAGTACACAACAGAATAATAACCCCCTTTCAATATTGCAACTCCAAAAAACATTCCCAATTTAGCAAACCATGCTCATAATTCTCCAAACTTTAAATCAAGTTTTCCTGAACGTCTGAAAAAAGTTGAATAAAGTTGGGGCCAAAACCAGAAATATTTAAGCTTTTTTTTGACCCGATCATGTTCGCTAAATGTTCCTCCTACGCAGTGGGGAGAATTGGCACTGTCTGGTTACTTTCGGTTTCTGGACTGGCTGCAGTAACACGCCTCTGTCCATACGGGGGCGCTCGCAGGCGGAGTGCAGAATGAATGGAGGTCTATGGAGCAATATTATAACTCCTTCTTTAACCTCACATAATAACTTAGTTATTAATCTGATTCGTCTTATTTTGGGTGGGATTCACTAACTATATGATGTTTAAAGTACATTGGAAGTATTTATTAGCAATCTTAACAAATCTGTGATCTGCAGAAAAACAATCAATAAACTTTTCTCATTTGTTGCATTTTTCTTTATCTTTCAAAACTCTTATTAGTCACACAAAAGATCTTACTTTATTTTTTCACACAACACCCAGCAACATACTAATGAAAGTCTTATCTGTTTTCTTCTGAATGACGATGACGAAGATGATGATGATGATGCCAAGGATAATCACGTTGAAACCACACTATAGTAATGTCAATGAAAGCTCAAGTCCACAAATCCAAATCTCAAATCCTCCCAGTGTCAACCTTAGTGTGGATCCAAAATCCAAAACAGTGCGCGTGCGATTTCAGTTTCTGAAACCACTGAAATAAGCCACAGGGTCTCTAAACTCGCTCGCATAGTTTCAGACAAGGGTCCCACCATGAGTGACAGAAAGACGAGCCACAGTACGTGAAGTCCTTCTACAAAATAAATAAATAACATTAGGAAAAAATACATACTCATACACCAGTCAACATAAGAAAATAAACAATGCTTACCTTCGATTGAGCATCAAACTTTCAGTTTCCCAAGGCAATCAGGACCATTGATTTCTTGGATTTCTAATGCATGCTTACTCCTCCATTACATGTACTCTCTACACCTGTTTTATACCTGAGAGTATTACTCACTTGCATTGACGCTTTTTCAACCTAGAAGTCCACTTGGAGTTTTACGGATGGGCGGACCAGCTCTATAGTTATGTATCCTGTACTATGCGGGTAAATGTGACAAGTTAGTAGGCTACTGCAACTAATGAACGGAGTTGTGTTTGCAACTTCTAGGTAAAATAAGCTAACGTTAGCAGCTAACTGAAAAGCAGAAACATTTAAAAATACTAACCTACTGTTATTGTGTCACGAAATGTAGTTTTAATAGTTTTTCAGTTTTAGTTTTTTAGTTGTTTAAAATCTGTTTCAAAATTTAGATGTTTCTAAAATTTAGTTGTTTCACAGATTTGACTGTGTTTTATTTATAAAGATAGCGCTTTTTAAAAAATTTGATCCATTAATTTTTCAGATGAGAATGTTGCCGCTTGGTTAGAATGCAGTCTCTTTGCGAGCATCCACGTGCCTCCCATTTTTTGCCACTTTGCTACAAAAGCACCAGCTGTTAATTTAATATAAAGACAGTCAGATATGCAATAATTCGTGGAGGGAAATTGCGTGTGTGGAAGTGTACACGCTGATCTACTGCGCATGTGTGGAACCCGTCCGACAAGCGTACCTCAGCACACTTTCACCAATATGATTGTTGCAATGTGATCATACTGCTGAGAAACAATCCATCATTTCAAAAACTTAATTTCATCTTGCTTCCACTGACTGTTTTAGAGACTTGCTCAGCTTGACTTCAGGCCAGCATGTGAATAGTTTTTTTTCTTTGCCTGTGGACTACAAAAACTCTTGAGATTTTGAAATAAGAGAGCTCAAATATTTTTGAAATGCCTGCATGGAACACAGTTGCAAAGAGCACCCTTGACACCAAGTCATAAGTTGTATATGTAACGTATTTTGATAGGAAAGAGGTTTTCCTATAGATTTCGGTCCAGATGTCAGTAGTCAATGTGCAACCATCGGTTATTTCATAAACCACAGCTCTTCTTAATGTTTGTGCCCTTTTACTCAGACAGCTTGACTATGTCGTTGGATGAGGCAACATCTGTCACAATCTCTGTTCCAATCTTGGCTGCTGTCTACGAGGACACTTTCAATCGATTTGCATAAATCACATTGAAGTTTGTCCTTTTGAAACTGTGCAGACATTATGCTTCAAGTTCCAGACGTGTACCCATTACATGTGAATATTTTGCTGCATTTGTCACAGCAAGCAAAAGGAAGGTGCCTTCCGTAGCTGACGTATACTACCAAAAAAACATTTCCAAATATCAGATTTTCCTTTGGTTGGTTTTGTATGTTTCCTTTAATAACAAAACTGAATCTGTAGCATGAAGAGATCCAAGTAGGCTAAAGCAAAACAAAATCCTGATCCTGAATTTTTTTCCGAGGGTGGGGGGTTGCGGGGTCAGGTGTACACCTACGCAGGGTTATTATTAAAAAAAAAGTGCTGAGGCATTGGCAATATTAACTTTACTGCTCGCCAGATCTGGTGTTGTTACTCTGGTGGTCGCATTATCAAAAAAGCGAACAAGAACATTTTGTCCATGCTCTAGCTAGAGGCTTCATCGATATTTAATGAAAACATGCAGTTTCTGAGCTTCTCAGACAGACGTTTCTTAAACTCTGGTGTGTATTTACATAATGGCATGCTGATTTAAAAAGGACAGATTTGTCAAAGCTTATTGTCTGCAGCTAATTTTTTACACAGATTTACAAGCGTTTGAGAGATTGTGTTTTGCAGTTAACATGCACACGCGTATTTTCAAGTCACAAACATGGTCAGTCTATGACGGTACGTCAGCTCTGTTGCTCCCAGTAATCATGTGTTGGAGAGCGCGGGCAGCTCCACTATGACCGGGGTCTAATTTGTGACGTGGTAGAACTTGTTAACCGCTAGTTGCATACATTAGCTTTCTCGAGCACAACGTGCAGAAGCAAGAACCTGGTTTTCTTAATTTCTTAAACCAGCAACCAAAAGGCTTGCCATCTCTGCCTATTTCTTCTATCCATGCCCAACGCCATTTATCAATTAGGACGTCTTGTCCAGGCTTTAAAAACGTACTATCCATCCAGTATAGCAGCAAATCAATGCCAATAATAACCGAGCGCACAAGGGATGCTGGC